AACATTTACATTTCGTTCACGTATACTACGAAATACGAAAGAAAATTATCCTGGAAATAACGTAGCCAAGTTCGTGTTTCAGACATTTGTTAAATTATGTAAATTTTGATCTATGGATTTGAGCGCGTATCGACTTCTGAAGTCACGGTCTTTTAGCAAGGTGTTCCTTACGAACGATTGCATCGAATCGGACTGGTGTTCAGTGGCGTGTATTTCACTCCGAGCCGAACGTAGAGTACAAGGTATCACATCACGTGCACGCGTATTTATAAAGTGCGGTACGAACTTGCCGAAAGCAATAGCACCGGTATTATATACCACCTTTTTCCATGACAACCGGCGGAAGCATAAGAGAGGATGGTTAATTCATTGATACGCGGTGGAAGCCAGTTACCGTATGCAAGATCGCCGATAATGGTTAACGAAACTTGTTCTCCTACTCGTTCTGATTGCCTCGTGCGTATCTTACGAACGTCACACGTACGTACATATCGAGCAAACCGTATTATTCATTAAGGCTGAGATGTAACAAATTTATCTCGGACTTGATGTGTTCCTTATTCTTCGATTATTATTATTATTATTATTGAATTTTTTTTTTCTTGAGATTTCTAAACTGATAATTTTCAATTGAGAATGACAATTTTTTAGAAATTTGCAACGGAATTGACAAAGCTTACAATTGCAATCTTACTTTATTCTTCGATTTTTATTATTATTGAATTCTTTTTTTTTTTCTTGAGATTTCCGAACTGATAATTTTCAATCGAGAATGAGAATTTTTTTAGAAATTTGCAGGAATTGACAAAGCTTATCTTATTCTTCGATTATTATTATTATTATTATTGAATACTTTTTTTTTCTTGAGATTTCCGAACTGATAATTTTCAATCGAGAATGAGAATTTTTTTAGAAATTCGCAGGAATTGACAAAGCTTACCTTATTCTTCGATTATTATTATTATTATTGAATACTTTTTTTTTCTTGAGATTTCCGAACTGATAATTTTCAATCGAGAATGAGAATTTTCTTAGAAATTCGCAGAAATTGACAAAGCTTATCTTATTCTTCGATTATTATTATTATTGAATACTTTTTTTTTCTTGAGATTTCCGAATTGATAATTTTCAATCGAGAATGAGAATTTTTTTAGAAATTCGCAGCAATTGACAGAGCTTATAATTACAAGGAGAGTAGGATCGAGAAGGTTCGGGAAAGAAAGTTTGTTATCGTTCTATTTTATTTTACAATTATATCGTTGCATCGTTACATCGAGCAATTTATTTCAGCTTATTACTTCCTATTTCCTTAATTACGACGTAATCAACCGTTATTAACTGTAATTCCTTTTCTCATTAGAAAAGAATGTAATTGAAATTAATCCCATTCGTCGTACTTGCCGGACACATGAACTCAGAGCTGTGTTGTTTTTAATCTTGCAAGAATATTTTTAATACATTGATACCTGAAAGAAGTTGCAGTCCAAAAATTAGCAATTTTTAAGCAGCGATAGAAAATAATTGTGCAATAAATGTAATTAGTAAGAATATAGTAATAGTTATATTCGATATAAGAAAATTTACTTCTTAGTATACGTAATATATATATACTCACCCAGATGATTTTTGCACAATCACACCCAATAAAGTTTCTTCAACCTTCCAATTTATTATAATATATTGTAATTAAAAAAAAAATTGAAATTTCTCGTTTATTTTTCGTAAAAGAATGATTTTTCAGAAATTCTATCGCACAGACTTGAACATCTTAAGAAACATAATTTATAATTTTTACGTCAATCACTTTTTTTTAGATCTTCTATCGTTTTACGATTTATAAGCATTCACACCGGAAGTAGATAATTTTTATCCAGTGATATCATATACCGACGAGCTCGAAAGAAAAAGAGAAAACGAATTATCGTGTTCGGTCACTCGTTATGGTCCGCGAACCAGTTGCCAGCGCGCAACGGTTCAAAGTTAGTTGACGCGTCAGTAAAATTATTATTACGTGATATTTCATCTCTCAAAATTCTCCTACAATCTCTCGGGACAGGCCGAGAACACGCGAGAACGAGAAAGTTTCCGCGAACATCGATGCCCAACAACCGAAAAATCTCCAACCGAAAAAAACATCCACGTACCATTGGGTCCATCGGCGAGACGAGGGGGAGGATTGAATGCCGCGTTTCCATCAAAAGAACGCACGACCCTATCGCGTGGCTGGAACAATGCCGATTAACCCTTTCGCGTTATTGTGCAAAACAGAACAACAGGAACAACGGAACGGTGGAACAACAAGGACAGGGGGGGGGGCGCCATGGTGGAGGAGGGGGGCGCAGTCCGCGGTGACACGAAGGATTGTTTCGCGGATGCACGAATCGTTCGCTCGAGCCGTCCACCGAAAAGAGTCAGCAATTAAACGTATAACGAAACTAATCGCCGCGGAACGAGCTGTTTACGCTCGTTCCATTGTTTCGTGACAATAATCTCCCACGAGCGTGAGCGAACGATGAAAAGACGACAAAAGAGTGATTTACCTCGCGGAGTGAGATTCAATGGTGAGTATCCGATGGTCCGACTCTTTCTTTTTTTCTTTTTTTTCTCTCTTTTTTTTTTTTCCTTTTCACGGATCTCGTTATTTTCTTTTCGGAATCCATCTCATCGATTGTATTATTAACCGCGTATTATTAACGCCGTGTGGCTCGAGTCGAGTGTGGAGAGTTTGGAGAGTTTTACTCTGTTTGCTCGTTGCTGTTTGTCGCGGTTTGTCTCGGAAATATTTGAAGCGAAGATCAGTGGAATTGGTAAATAATTTGCAGAGTAAGTGACTGAGAGAAACCGCGATTTTCGAGATCGTCACGTCGAGACGATTTTGTCGAGGTTTTAATCATTTGGACGGCCGGAAGGGATCGGTCTTCTTGATTCGTGAACTATATTGTATAAATTCTTCTCACTGTGAATCTACAATTTTTGATTATCACAGTGAGACTATCGATGAGGCGAGAAGCGTATCGCTTTGAATTGCATTGTTTCTTCGATTAACAAAATAATATTTAATCTTGGTTTTCGCTTTCTCTGAGAGTCACGCTTCTTCTCGCTGTCCTCAGAGCAAGTTTGTCTCTACGACGCAATTAATTTGTAATCTTTCTCTTTCTCTGACAAACAAACAAAATTCTTCGATCGTTACATTTTGAGAATTTTACGTCAAAACACAATTCGTAATATCCAGTCAGAAAAGTGAAAAGAACAAAAAAAAA